CCTATGCCACGGGGAAGCAGTGAATAGGGCTTCCTCGGCAGAAGCTATTTGAGAGCCTTGGTGGCATAGGTCGAGTAGCATATCGCGAGGTGAAAGGGAAAGGTGACCAGCGGTAACCCTAGATACCTCCCCCCTCTAATCATACTGAAACTCTCGGAGTGTGAGCTGGTTGCTAAGTTGTAATACGTGCAAGCACACACAAAGATTCGCGTCCCAAGCTCAAATCCCGGAGAGAATAGTGGATATACATTAGTGAGGAACCCCTTCACGGGAGTAAAACTCAAACCAAACGCATCCAACGCATCTGGATGAACCGAGGTGCGTGCGTGAAGATGGTGTCCGAAGGACGGTGAGTCCAAGTTCATCTAAACAAATAACCAAAAATAGTCTATCTTCATTTTAGAGTATCAAGCTTGGATTAGCCCATTCGATTGTTCAGAGGCATCAAGCACTCTTGACGGTCTTGGGTGTGGGTTCAACTCCTTGCGAGAACGTTAATTCTCCACGAGAAATACTATTCTGACTGTATGCTATTTTACTCAGTCAATACAAACTACCTCAATTGCACAGAGACCATTAAGAGTGTCTGGTGCCTATGAACAATCGAATGGGCTAATCCAAGCTTGATACTCTAATTTGATTCAGCCATTCGTACAAGGTGATGACCGTCGGCCGTGGAGCTCAAGAGTAAGGGTTTGAAGTCCCGACTCGACTGATCGCGGTTCGAGTCCTGACAGGGACACAAAAAGTATGCACTGCTGCCGAGTCCCAAATAGTCTATCTTCGTTTCGCAAAACACTGATTCGAATCATCAACGGCACACCTAGGTTCGTAGACAGAACAACCTTATTTTCAGGGCATCATTAACCGTCTCTAGAAGATAAACGAGAAAAAAGGACACGATAACAGCTTAAAAGAAGAAGCTTAGTTTGATGCCCCACCAATCGAGTCACAATTATCAGTTTAAAAAACCGTTACCTATTATAGTTGCACCAGAGACTCTGGTTGCTGCTTTTCGACTCCTCTCGTGAAGCACTGCAAGTTAAACAATTGAGTAAAGCCGCTATGTTAAATCAGTACACACAAACATCATGAACAAGCAACATGTGAACGATGGATATCCAGAAGACTGAGAACCAACAAGACAGAATCGGAGAAGCTGACAGCATCAAAGAAAACAAAAATGGTCTTTCAAAATAGAATGAAGAAAAATTCTGGAAAAAATAGTGGAAATGTCCATTTATTGACCGAATCGCTCGTTTTCCTCAATGCAGACAAATAGCATGATAATCATGGAGATGATTTCTGTCTGTATCTATCGGTTAACCTGTTCTCCTCGGACAAGCCACACTGATCGTACCTGGTCGATCGGATGACGAATGCCCTATCCTATATCAACGAGCGATAAGGGCGGGAGCGCGCGCAATTTCTGCACGCTTGAGGTAGAGGTGTGAAGAATCTGGATTCAGCTTTGGCTTCTGTTGGCGCTGCCGATCTTCCAGTTCGGGACCCAAGGGACTGTCGTTTGTTAGAGACGTTATGAGACGTGACCCAAAATGGAAGTCAGTGGTGTGAATGCTGTACGGTCTGTCTGTTGAAATCCTGAGCCCCGTGAAAAAAATGATAAACTAACACACACAAAATATAAAAAAATGCACGGTGAAACACTAAAAATTGTTCCTTTTCTTGTTATCTACTGTTATCCGTTGTAACTGGCTAATCTTCTTTATATTTCGTTCTGTATCCCAATCCCCTCATCTCCTGTGATTGTTATTGTGTTGTGGCGTTGGCACCATGCGTGCTCGCAGTCGAGACGAGGGAATGATTCCGACACATCTATGCAATCACTATGATTCGACCGGAACATGTCAAAGCATGATTGTTGTCTAAAGAAGAAACGATTACAGTTCGATTGAACAACATCACGCTAAGTTCGCACAAACGAGTCTCGATGTTCCATCCGTAAATTTATATTCCCCAAACAAAAATAGGTATCATCAAAAATGTGTAAAGTTTTTGTGCGTTCATAACTATTCTTTCAATTTTAAACACAGACCCAATAGCACGGACAGTCAGTTCAACTCTCCTCCATACCCTGTTGTAGTATGGTATTATTTATAATGTGCTTTGATTGGGGCTGTAGGTAGAGCACTGTTAGCAAGATTGTTCACCAATGCATTCATCGAAATGGTACATTCATTTGACTGTGATTACGGAAACTCTTCCATCGAATTTCGTGAAACGATGAGGCAAATGATTAATGCCCAGTACTGGAATGATCGGGAAACTGCGATCCACACGGAGGCTAAATGACATCAACTTACAAATGACAAGTCTCCCCCGAATTACAGAGGATGCACGAAACGCGTAGTGTTTGGCTCGTCTACTGTGACTGGATTTATTGAACTGTGAAAATTATTCGGAAAACCCAAATGTGAACCATGTTTGATTTCACTTTGCTATTTTCACGGTTCATTCGTCCAACACCACTCACCCCAGACACAAACCGGGTGACATTTGACTCTACCCCCAACCCTATATGTACGATTGGATCCAATTATTTGACTGTGTTCGTTTCTTGCTCCCTCGGGTTCAATTTGTTTGACTCGTGATCGGATTGCTGCCCACTTTGACTCGCTTGAGTGCAGCGTGACGGTAAGCTTATCATTTCAGTTGAGAATTATCTCTTTGGTTAGGATTCTTCGAATTACACTTATTGGGGGACCCTTGGCACTTGTTCTCGAGCCGTTCTGAGATCACTTTTAGGTTCGCATACATACATATAGGTTACTTGTCTAGTTGATTGTTTATTAATGCAGTACGGATCAATCGTTTTCTTGACGTTTCGGGATTCGTTTTGGCTACGTGTCACTCGTTGTTCTATTCGGCAATTACATCTACTTTGCACGATCTCATCACACTTTAGAACACACGGGGACTTGACCTATGCAGATGTTAATACGCGTTTTATTCGTTCATCTTTTTGCTCTCCACATGCACAAAGCATTCAAACTAGAAGTGATTAGATCCAACTGAGTACAGATTTACCGCTGACCGGTTGAGAAAAGTTCAAGAGTCTTTGTGAAGTTTGAACCCTCGAGGTTTGATCATCTCCTGTATTCCACTAGGCGAGCCACGCATCCATACTGGTGATCCTAAGCTGTGTATTCAATGTGCAACTCTGGACACATCCGAACCAGTCAAGCATGATAGTAGCTGTTTCCAAATCCAATTCCAAGTTTTATGCTTGGCGTGCACAGTCAAAAATCGATTATGGGGAAAGGCATCCTGAATTATCACCGGAATGTAACTAACGCATTCGAACGCAACACGGGTTGATGTGAACAACAAACGATATGCTCAGGAACTGATATGCGACCGTAGTAGTAGTTGTTGTACCAACTGGTTCGGCGGAAAGAGGCAGGCAAGCATCGATCAAGCACGGATTGGTGCGGTTCAAAGAAATCGACAAATAAACAGACCGGTTATCAGTAAACGCCTGCAACACCTGATGAGTTGGATGATCCTCATTAGTATCAGAAGCCTATCAGTGAACGCGTAATCGAATACAGATCCTAACCACAGTGTAATCGATCGTACTCTGTGAACTCGTGATGAAACGGTGGCAGACTGCAAACAGTAGTAGTGATGAAAAATATTCACGGTGAATGAAACGAGAGGAAATCTTATGTGACCGACGCAATAACCCGGAACAGGCGGAAGAGCATCATTGTGGAACGTACCCAAGTATTGCCGCTGGGAACAAACACAATTTGAAAGCCGTCGTAAATGATTTTCCCATTGGCCCAACCGGTCTCTGGTCTGTAGAGTAGAAGGAAATGGTCGATTGGAAATCCGACAGCTGAGGTGGCCAAAGTCCAACGTGCAAGCATTCCCCCATCAGGCTATATGCGCGTGCGTTGGTTGGGTGGGGAGAGAGGGAGGGAGGGGCGGTAATGGACGGGACAGAGAGACAAATATACACATACTGTAAGGGGTGGTAAACAAAGAGGTCACCATGGCGACGGGGACAAAAGTCAAACGTGTATACAGAAACAGATGGCATCCGGGGCGCAGGTTACTCGTGTCTTTATGAACACGTGTGTGTGTCAGCATCCAATATGACGCTTAGTTTATAACAAAAAATGCAAGTATATTTAACGCCTCGAGCGAATTGGTGATGGCCGTGGTGGAGTAAGTTGCATGAGACAAATTACGGACCGATAAGAGAATAAACTAGATGGTAGATGTGTGCGTGAGAGAGAGCGGGAACGAGAGAGGAAACCGAAAGATTACGCAGAGCGCTATCTGGACAAGCAGACAAGTGTATCACGNAGTTCTGTCTAAGGGACAGAGAGAGTCATGTGTTTGGACGACTGTGGCGACCGCAGAAACGAGTCAGTTGCGATTATCAAGTTCAACAATGCACGTGGTCACGAGATTCGAATTTCTTCAGGAAAAAAGCGTTAACAATGCAAAAACACAGGGACCTACCTCGAACAGACAAATGGTTTATGTGGATTTGGACAAGAACGAACGCACTTAGATTTTGGTCACTGATCAACTGAATGACCGATAAATGCAACGTGAAGAGAGCTAGAACAAAACGGGGCATTACTATCTGAAATAGTCTGTGGTATACAATCTCAGACAATTGGTTTGAAGTGAAAAACAAGGCCGATAGGTAGATATGTCAGAAGTGACAAAGAATTGAGAATTGTGTGTGTGTGTGTGTGTGCATGAGAAATAAAAACTTGTTATCAATGTAATTCAGATTCTCTGTGCAGTGTGTGAATGGAATCGCGTAAACGAGACCGGCAAGCTAGGGGGGTGGTTAGTCGAGCGAACCGAGATGAGTAACAAGGCCGCTTATTTCGTTTGCCCTGGCTAATCACTTGCATAAGGTTTAGACTAGTCCGAAAAAGCCAGCAACCTACCTCGATGTTCACCTATTAATACACTATCCCCGGTCGCTTGAAAGCACAAGGATGTCGCATGAGAGTAAGATCGCATCGACCACGTGAAGGTAGAAGAGAGAGAGAGACGAAATCCCAAACACACTTCGCTTTTCGTTACCAACCCCGGGGAGGACAAGGGGCCGTAAATGCAAACGCGGTTGGGACTAGTTGTGCACAATGCATGCGATAGGGGAATAAACGTTGAACAGCAAATGGGTATGGGGTGCGGACCGGAAGTGCGCCAAGAGAACTATTCAATAAGGCCGGATCGCAGATAGGGTGTAGGCCAACGAACAAAATCGTTCATCACATTGTTCTCTCTTTATTTCATTTCTCGGAAAAGAATAAAGCAAAAGTAACCTGTTCTCGTATAATCCGATCACGGTATTCCTCGCAAAACAGAATACCAGTCACTTGATCTACAGCGCTTGGAACATCCAAAATAAGAGGACACGTGAACCACCTTGAAGCCAACGCCAATTGTTTAACCAATGAGAAAAGTATACCCGGTTGAGGAACAATACAGCAGACCAGTACCGCCCGAATAGCCATATTGTGATCATTCACGTCAATTTTGGATGAAAAACCAGTTAAATCTACAAAATAACCCAATGATAAAAAAGTAATAATAATAATCGATAGCATTTTCTACTACTGATCACTGGAATGTTGAAATCCCAGTGACGGGAGGGACAAGTATCAAAACACTAATACATGTCAAAAATCCGTCTAACAGAAAACATTTGATGAAATTTAAACGAAGAACGGGAAGAAATTGTTTGGGTCCCGATAGGCAGTGGAGTGCACTGACCCACTCGAGATGGACGGGATCAGCTTACCAGACGTTCGGTTTCCGTGATCACCGGGGCCACTTTGGATATGTGCTCAAAACTGATCGGATCGGACCAGGGACTTTTGCCCGCAAGGGTTTGACCGACAAACGCATGCACACGAAACTCATACAGATGACCCGGCTCCAGACCGTCACGTTGACGATTTGTCAGATAGATGTGTTTGATGTCTTGACAACAGCTCGGTTTTTCTGCACAACACTCGGCCACCTGTACACAATCATCGTAAAAACGAGAGTAAGGGTAATGGTGATGGAGGAGCGGAGTGAGTGGTTGTCATACCAGTGATCGAGACACACCATATAACAGACGATCATGACTAACACAAAGGCCAGGAATAATATGGTGAATGATTCCTTAATTCAGACTGTCTATTGTACGATGTTGGCTCTAGTGACAAACAATGCGATCGTTTTGTGATATAGACGGCATATGAATATGAGAAAAACACATGGTTACTTAAGCATAGCGATGTTTTACCTCGTGCTAACAAAATCCTGGCGTGTTTGTGTGTGTTAAGCGAGGGGAGGGGGGGATAGAAGTAAAGCGAGTACACATGCACATATTTATAATAAGCACTAAGCTGTGACCTAAGATATCAAGGTCAAGTTAGCAGATGGAATATATTGCTTTTGTTGGTGTCCCATTCACCTGTCTAGACTATAATAATGATACAGACCTGGCAGGTAGTCATGTGAACTGAAAGTGTTATCTTAAGTGATTGTACAATAGAGCGCCCAAGAAATATGCAATTAAAACGGCTGTATAACATATTTTTGAATAATTTCGCAGTAGTAAGACAGTTAGGTATGCCAAGCGAACAGGTACACCGATTTGGTTGTGAAGCTAAACTTGGTCCTAAAGGATCAGCACAGACCGATTTTAGCAATCCACAGTAGCTGGTTTTTGTGGCCAAATTCTGAGCCAGTTCGATCAACAACTTACGTCTGAACAAAACACTTGTTGAAAATCACCTGAACATTTTGGAATATTGAAAGCTGTTTGATGTCACTGGTATGCTTTAGGCAAAGCTTGCACTGAGTTTCTTGACATGCAATCAATGTTTATTCATAGGAATTGCAATCCGATCCCGATGTGTCATTGGTTAAAGTAACTACGGTAACTGGGAAGTAGTTATGCATGCAATAAAGCATCAGGTATAACAAGAAGTCCCAAGAGATGGATTAATTTCGTTAAAGAGAGGGCTGCCAAACAGCATCATTCAAGCGATCTCCCCTATTTACATGAATAGGTTGAGAAAAGATTTTTTGAAGACGAAAAGAACAACTAGAGAAGAGCGTGCCAGCAGAGGAAAGCCAGTCGTTTTGTCCACAAGGTATCCGCAAGCAAATTAGTGAGGACATGGGATCAATGACGACGCCTCGAGAATTTCACTCATGAATCAAAACGAGATAGAAACATTTTTGGTCTGAAGCAAGCACCCGAGAAACAGTTAGTTTCAATCACTTCAAACCAAAAATCTTGTATCAATTCACCTACGAGGATTGTTACAGAAACGGAAGAGCAACGCGGGGCTCTGTTCAGACCGTGGATCACTCTTCGTCAGATACTCGAGCATCGTCAAATCCACCGAAGACTAACAGACATTGGTTTTTCGAGCAGCGTTTGACTGCTTTGACAGGACTGCTTTATGAGGAATGTTTGCAGTGAAACGATATACCTGAAAAAGGAATCACTTTGCTGTTGACAATCTACCGACCGAGTTAAGGCATATGGCCAGCTTTCGCCCCAAATACCACATCTAGTAGAGCACGTCCGTGGAGAATATCAAATGTAACCGTTTCTCTTCAATTTTGCTGCAGACATCTTAGAAAGCGCATCATTTGGTGCTAATCAGTAACAGGGTCCTGGACGTGGAATAAGCCGATGAAATATTCAAATTTCCGAAAACATAAAGATGATATAGGAGCTGCTGGATCTTCTGGCAATTGAGGTAACTCGATACGGGATGTGCTGCATCTCCGAAATGCAAAGTGATGACTTAAGACTCGTAGGAGCCTGTGTCTGTCCTCATCCTGGTCTGTGAACGATTGGAAGTCGTCAATCACTTTAATCATTTCGAGAACCGGATCATATTCGGAGAGGAGTGAGTGAGATCTCCGCATGAGTTAGGAAGGCTCATTTTACTCCTTATAGATTAATGTACCAGTGGTGAAACTATGACATCAGCGTGGCACTGAAACTTCGAGTATCCAGTACAGTAAGTAGGATGCTACAGAATGGGTCTGGAATCTGGTAAGTTCAGGATGAGGATGCTCGTCGCTCAAAAGTGTTTGATAAGCGCAATCTTCTCATAATCGCTCGAGTTTGGTGGGGGAAATGTATGTATTGATTAGGTATCTCTTTATTGTACGCGCTTGTGCGATGAACAGCAAACGGGGTAGTCATGTGAACCTGCTGTTCACTCATGAGAACGGGCAATCGAATAACCTGGACTTGGAGTGGCGAACC